GCTAGTTTACTAGGGGAGAATGACACAAACCACAAATTTTTTTTAAGAATATACTATAGCCTAGGAGATTTAGGCTGGAATGCTTTAGGGTTAAGAGGCTAGCCTAGGGTTTTGCTCCTTGTTTATTTCACTGCTAAGATTCCAAGATCATGAGAAAAATTATTTCATAATAAGCTTGGTATAATAATTTCTTAGACCATAGAATCTTGCACTTGAAAAACCTATTGTACAGACCTAAAAGCATGCAATAGTTATTTGTCTTCATGGCAATGGATGCTAGAATTTCTCACATTGATATGCCTAAAACTAGGGTTTTTTTTTGCAATCCATTGCTAACACATCCATTGGAAGTGTCTCCAAAGGCAGAGCAAAGCAAAATAGGCTAGTCTTCACTTAAGTCTATGCTTTTGCAATTGTCCATACCAAGATTAATAGATGCTTTGTCACACATGAGCAGTATGCTGGAAGCATTTGTGTCTAGTTTGAAACAAACTCACACCCAAGGCTATGAGGAGGGTACTGAATGTGTTACTTTTGTGTTTTGCATTTCTTGATTATCCATGCTATGCAAGGGAAAAAATCTTAGAAAGTAAGAGGTCTAGACAGGATCACGTGTATGAGCCCAAGAATATTTAGAGGAATATATAGTTACAAAATGTTCCATATTAGCTGTTTTTATAGATTAGCTTTTTACCCAAGCTAATTCTTAGTTTATTGTTCAAGTATATAAAGGCATGGTGATCATCCTTATTGTTAGGATCCTATCCTTTAAACCCTAAGCCAATTGGCTAAAAGGGTGATCACTTGATTGTAGGGCCCTTTCTTTATCCTATTATCTTGACCTGGTGCTTAACAATCCTCCCCTCGTCAGGGAATGATCGTCCACGATCATACTTAGGCCACCCTCTAGTCACCATATTCCTTCTCTTAAGATCATATTTAGGCCACCCTCTAGTCACCATATTCCTTCTCTTAAGATCATACTTAGGCCACCCTCTAGTCACCATATTCCTTCTCTTAAGATCATACTTAGGCCACCCTCTAGTCACCATATTCCTTCTCTTAAGATCATACTTAGGCCACCCTCTAGTCACCATATTCCTTCTCTTAAGATCATACTTAGGCCACCCTCTAGTCACCATATTCCTTCTCTTAAGGTCTACCAAACCTTTGTTCTCCCACGTTAAATATTCCTTCAAAATATTCCTGCCCCACTCGTCAGCCTCGAGAATCGAACTAGGCTCGAATACCAATGTTAGGATCCTATCCCTTACACCCTAAGTTAACTGGCTAAAGGGGTGATCACTTGATTGTAGGGCCTTTTCTTTATCCTATTATCTTGACCTGGTGCCTAACAGAGATCCATAAGAGACAATGAGTAAGATCCATGAGTAGAGAGTTGAGCATCTAAGCAAGAGATGGAGTCATACTTTTTTTCTTTCTTTTTTGAGAGATTTTCTTTCTGTGGGTCTCTGGAGAGCACAACAGTTGTCTAATTTTATGCATTAAGAGCAGGCTGAATAACCTTGCAAAAAAGAGCCATCAAGACTCATGCCAAATCTAAAAATAATATTACAGTTGAGAAGAAATGGAAAGAGAGGAATGCACCACTATGTATTTGGAGATAGTGAACTCTCAAGAGCATTAACATTTGATAACGTTGATGAAAAGAATTTACCAGATTGCATGAAAGAGGGATTCAATTAAGAAGTTTGAAGTGGATTGCTTATTTGATAAATTCATGGGGATTCCTAACATGCCACAACATGATAGATATGCAATTTACACAAATACAAGAGCTTGTAAATCTTTTCTCTTGATGCTCATAAAGCCTATTATCAAGTTCTTAGAAAGGAGCTCCTCAATGGCCATATATTTAGATGGGAATGTTGCAAAGGTAGTAGTTGCAATGATAGTTGTAGGTGATCATCTAGAGGTGGACTGCTTACCTTATATCCCATTTCTTAGTGTCACTTGGGATGGTTCAAACTTGAGTTGAGCTCAATTCAGCTCAAGTCAATCCTAGTCAACATAGTCAACTATAAGTCTTATAAGGAAATGTCATGTTAGAAAAAATATTCTTTGGTGAGCTTGAAATTCATGAACTTAATTGTTAATGGTTTGAAATTTTTATTTTTTGAATATTTCTAATGCAATCTATACAATAAAATAATGATTGAGTAGTTTTTTGTATTAGAAGTTTGTCCAAACCCATAGAATATTAAATTCACAGTGCTATTGGCTATTCTCCATGGAATAGAAAATAGAATATTAAATTAAATAATGATCCATATCAATGATCCATTGAGGTTTTCATGTGCTATATATAGCAGATGAATCATTGGATCATTGAAAATACAAGCATTAATCTATATAGCACATGAAAACCTCCAATAGATGCATGATCCTTCATCGTGGGAGATGAATGGATCCATTGATCCATCAAACCTCAATGGATCCTTCATGTGCTATTTATAGCACATGAATCATTAAATTAAATATGATTAGATAGAATATTAAATTAATAGAATATATATGTGAAACAGGAATCTAAAATTTCTATTGTACATTTTTACATTTTGACATTTCAACAATTGACCAGAAATATATAAATAATTCAAAATATTAATTCACTCCTTCATTCTTTAGGGTTTTTCAAAGAGAAGCAAGGAAGACAAAAAATTAGTGAGTAGTTCTAGCATACAGAAATATGAGAATGTTAATTATGTTTCACTACCACAATTTTCATATTACACTTTTAATCTTTATTACTCATCCGGGAATATGAAGACCACTGTCACTATTGATAAAAATGCTCTTGTTTCTTCCAAAATAATAGTCCAGAGTAAGAGAAAAGAAAAAATGGATAGTACAGCAAAAACCACTAACAAATCCACTTCATAAAGCTTTCCATAGCTTTTATAATCCACTAAAATATTATAAAAGAAAGTAAGTTTTTTATATATATCATATTCCTCTTGATATGCTATATCTTTGCAAGTAAACATATGTAGTATATATGATGTTGACAAATCAAAAAGTCAAATCTATTTATGTTTTGAATATTGAAAGGTAATCTTGCAAAAATGCATGTTTGCATGCCTACATGTGTTTGCTATTATTATATATGGCAGGCTATCTATATAAATTAAGACTACATATTAATTATATATTAGTTTTTAGCTTTTGGAACCCTATAGGCACTTGTCTATAATGGTAAGTTGTAATTACCAAGATTAATATATGTCATGTCATAATAAAATGTCTTTCCTTAGATTGAAATATAGTATATTAATAAGAGAATTCTTATTTTTAGAGAATTTAATTCTTCTTGTGTGTTGCAATGGTTTGGAAAAAGTTTATTTTTGGTTCTAAAGGCCTCTCATGAGTCTCCACCTCCATCTCTAAACTCAATTAATAATCCATCTTCACCTCTATGTAACAATTATCCTCTTCATTTTAAGAGGTGTTGTGAAGCTTTTCCATTTGTGATCTTGAGTGCAACTAAACAAAAATTCCCTTTTCATGATGTTGTTGAAAGAGTTAGATTGCCTCCAATGCTCCAAAAATGATGTTTTCTTTAAGATCTTGCTCTAGATATGGTAGGAGTACTTGATATAGATATATTATCTTTAGTGTTTTATATATTACTTTTATTTAAACAAGACAGATAATTGTATGGGTTTGGTAAATTTTCTTGAGCACTATCGCAAATGCCCAAAAATGGGTTTGGAAGGTTTGCATGAGTGGATGTATAAGAAAATCAAGAAAGAATTAAAGACATACAATTTATATAATGTCATGGTGAAAAACAATATTCGATTGGTGAACACTACATTAGTGAGTGCTGAATATAAAATATTTAGGCCACCCTTTAATGTAATATGAAAGTCATGCATAGTTTTTTCAAAAGTTTAGTTCATTATTAGTAAAGTAGAGAATTTTATATTTTCAAGAATGATAATATTCTAGTATATATAAAGACATTATTATATATACAAGTGGTTCTAACACTATTATAATTATAAAGTCCCATTTTCAAGACAGAAAATCTAAATTTTCAAGAACCCCTAGATCTTTTTTTAGTACGACAAGGGATGTTTTCTTTCAGTTTGTTTAAAGTGTAAAAATGGCTAGGGAAAATGTTATTGCTATTTGCATTTAACCCCCATGCATTTCATATGAATCTCCAACTCCATTTTTAACTTCTACCAATATTCCACCTTTCCCTCCACACAACAATCATTGTGAGGCTCTTCCTTTTGTAATCTCAAGTGTGACTGAATAAAAGATCTCTTTTCCAGATAATATTTTAGATATTGCTACTAAAGATGAATTGTTTTATGTGCTTCAAGAATAATGTCAAATGTTTTTTCAAGATCTTGCTCCAGATATAGTTAAAACTCTTGAAAGAATGAGCATATATTATCTTTAGTATCCTATATGCTACATTTATTTGGATAAAACAGAAGGTTATATAAGTTTAGAAACTTTTCTAGAACACTGCCATAACTGCCCAAAAATCAGAGTCTTTTCTCTTGATGCTTATAAAACCTATTATCAAGTTCTTAAAAAAGAGCTCCTTAATAGCCATATATCTAGATGGGAAGGTTGCAAAGGTAGCAGTTATAGTGGTAGTTGCATGTGATCATCCGGAGGTGGACTACTTTCCTTGTATCCAGTTTCTTGGTGTGATTGTGAAGCTTGAGTATCCAGTTGATCCAGCCTGCTATTGGTGGCAACTTTCTTTACATTGTTTGATTTCAACATATAAACTTTTAGCTTATTATTTGCACACAACAATGGGAAGCAACTCAAAAAAATTCCTGTGATACTAGGAGGTTGACCATCTAGCCAAGCATGGATTTAATCATTTACAACAATAGTTTGGATTGATACATTTCAGTGGTGTTAATCACACTTTGGATGAAAAACCATGCTCGACCATGGTTTCGTTTAGTGAATGTAATAAGAAGAGTGGGACACCATGTGCTAGAGGATTTTGTAGTAAAGACTTAACTACCAACTTTAATTTTTTTCATATAGACAAAGACTTCCATGCTGAAAATCAGGACGACGTCCATGGAACCGTCATCACATACTGATGGACCCTGTCCATCCCAGCAACAGCCCTCTGATACATTGATCCATCATCTTTCTTGAAGCCCTGGTACGTGTATCCCTCAAAACTAGACTCCGGAACAACGAAGATGAGTTTGTACTTGTTGGGACGCATGAGCTCGAGCTCATCATGCAACTCATCCAACCCCTGAGCGACCTCGTGGATCTTGGACCAATAGACCGGATGCGTGTCCGACGTTGTAACCTGGAGAATTATGTCCGGAGTGACCAGCGAATCGAAAGATTTCTGGTTTGACGCATAAGGCTCCACAAAGCAACTGTCAGGTAAGCCTGCAAGGCCCCGTGATTCCTCCGTCCCCGCACGATGAGCGTCCACAGGACTCACGTCCTTGGAGTATATGTTGAAACCAGACCCCACGCAGCGCTTCTTTACGAACACTTTCCACTCGCGCAGCCGCTTCACTGACGTTGGCCTCAGAACGAAGCGTTCAACGCCGTCGTCTTCCTCTTCCAAGGACCGAAGGTCAAACTGGGAACCTCCACTAGCAAGTACCTTGTGGACGTGCTTCTCGTACATTTTGCCCGCCAAAGAGTTTGCAACCGCATGTCCCTGGCAAAAGTCAAAGAAGTCACGCGAAGCCTGAAACCCCTGCTCCTCGAACTTTTCAAAAGCCAACTTCTGGATGTAGTCCGAGCCAAACACCAAGTGAGCGTGCAGCACCCGGTAACACGCAGGTGTGTTCAAGTCGAATCTGTCAGTCGTAAGACGGTAGTGGAGCAGAATATCAGAAACATTAGAGACCTTGTCCGAGTTCATTGCGCAGTCAAGCACTTTCCGCCAGCATTCCACCCTTGACGCTGCTTGGTGCACCTCCGCTTTGAGCCCGGCCAACGAGAACTTCTCCGTGTTGAAGAGAAGCCTTGGTAGCCCACCACAGTGGTAAAAGCGGAGACCAATTTCCTCGTCTGTCATTCCCAGCTCAAGCTCCTCGTTGCACTGCTGCACCTCCTCGAGCGACCAGGCTTCCAGGCGGCATATATAGCCATGGTCCTTGGAGAACTCGTAGTAGCCAGTGCGATCCGGTGAGACGCATTGGATGAGAGGCCCCAGGTGACTTATTCCCCTCGAGCCCCCGTCGACGATGAGCCAGACACTCGTCATGTCCCACCCCCGCGGTCGTGTATACCATTTCGATTGCAGCACTAGAGGGTCATCCAGCGAGAAGTCGAAGAAAAAGAAGTCTGGATTGTCATCTTTCGTCCTCCAAACTACTTTCTGTCCTTCCTGAGCTCTACTGTGAAAGAAGTAGTGGCCATAGAACGTCTTGCCGATACCTGGCGTTGAGACAATGTGGAAGTTCTTCAACCCTTTCCTCTCATTCACGACCCTGCTCCACTTCTCCGCAATGAACTGATCCATGAAAAGGTAGTTTGGATGGACCCAGAGCTTGGACAGGTTGTAATGGCCCAAGAACCCAGACGGGATGTGGAGGCAGCGGTCCTGGAGCCTGGCATGCTTTACCTCCCGGCCGTAGGCAGCGAGAAGAGGATCTGACACACAGAACTTGTTAGAGATGATTCGTCGCGCCTAAACCATACCGAGCTCTTCGCCCATCTCGCTGTCGCCCAAAACCTAGAAAGCAGAGCGGAAAATTGATATAAAGAATAGAATGCCCTCCTAGGGCAAGGGATAAAAGGTATATTCTTTCTTTAAGAATATTCTTTGTTTTGTGCTCTTTTAATGGGGTGTTTATCTTAATCTATTTTTGTAAAACTAATATTTTTTAATCACGAGCTTATTTATATACTGTGGCTGGTCTGATGTCGCTTGCTCTGCCTCCCCGGATGCATCGCCATGGATCTGGCAAGATCCCAGCAGTAGCATCACTCGTGATCGCGGGCTCAATCGGCATATCGCGCACCAGCTCCTCGCGCGGCTGAATAGATCTCCGTAGTAGAGCAGCGCTGGATCGCTGCCGTGATAGTTCGCCATGCCCACGAAGTATCCTCCAAGAGCCCGGCGTGGCGGCACGCCGAGAGGATGTTCACGAGATGCACCGCCTGGAAGAGGTCTCTTGCGCGGATCCAATCCCCGTGCTGCGTAAAGGAGATGACGATCGAGTTCCAGGCGATAGTGTCGCGATGGGGGAGATCCAAGAACACGGCATGGTGCGAGTAGCGAATTCGTTACCTGGATACGATCGTGGACGCCGCTGGCGATCGCCCTGGCGTGGAGGATCCGGCCATCGGCGAGGCGCGAGCTGGATTCCATCGTGCCCGGTCTGGGCAGTGCTGTGAGGATGCTGCCCCTGGAGATCACGTTCCGGTGGATCATCCTGTGGAAGATCTCCAGCGCTCGCTCGATCCGGCCGCTCTTGGCGTGCAGGCCGCAAGACGCGCCTCGAGGTTGCGTGGGCAATGCGAGGGATCGCTGGCGAGCGCGTCCATGATCGTCATCATCGAGGCGGCACTGCTGAAACTCTTCCTTTTTGTTCTTAAGCATGGATGCAAGGCTCTTTTCTCGATCCCAGAGAATTGCAAGCAGCTATTGCCGCCGGGAAAGCTCCGACTTTGATTGCTTTCTATGCGGATCATCACGTCGTCCCCGGACTCTCCGAGCAATAAAAAGGCCATGGTGCTCCTTCAGGAGCTCTGTCTTGTTACCTTTCACTTGAGCGAGTTTTTGGTTTTGATTTTCGCTTATGTGCAAAGAGGTGACTTAAACGATCATGAACAGCGAGAATTAGGCTTTCCATGCCAATGGAGCTGGAAAAGTGGTGAGCAAATTTCGGAGTAGCAAATCTTCTTCTAAAATCATCCTTGAGAACTTGTTGCTCGCTCTCGCTGCTCGTCCTTGTATCCTACTTTTTTAGTTATAGGAAGAGAAAATCGTGTTTTTCAGGGTAACGCCATGCTGTAATCCTCGGATTGCGGAAAGCAGCTGCGAACATTGCTGGCGGAACTCATCACGCATTTCCTGAGCACGGCGAGGAATTTCGTAAGTTGTTTCTCTTCATTTTTGTTCTCTTTTCTTGCCGTGTGATGGAGAAAACATATGTAATAATGATGGATTCTCCAGAGGTCTCAAGGCTAGGGTTTTCTCCAGCGGTCTTTGTGTAGAGTGGCTAAGTTTGCTTGTGGAAGCGTGACTCTCGACTCATACATATCCAACTTCTTCTCAGGCAATTCATCCCTGAAAAGGATTTCTATCACGAAGTTGCGGTATCACATCTATCATAAGCTTCATGGGACACAAAATCTCCTTACTTTTCTTTTCTTCAACCTATCTTGGAACTTCAAGAACGTTCGGCTTGTCCTCGGTTTTGACACTACAGGGATACACAACAGGCATGGAGCAGCTTTCCGAGCATTAGAGCGGGCTCTGCAAGTTTAGAACACACATCCACAGTGATTTGACGAACGGGTAGCTATCAAGCCTGACGCCTTCGAGCAGCATGGTGCAAAAGAAACGAAGAGCTTCCAGGCACTGTTGGTTCAACGAGTGCATCGCGTTCCAGTGCTCCATCTCGTCAAAGACGGCGCTCACGCTCCCGCGTCTCCCATACATGTTGACACGTCTGCAGCGGAGCTCCCGAGCTTGGTCGAGAGTGTCCGGCTGGTCGCAAGCTTCAACAATTTGCTGCAGCGCAATCCAGACGGACTCCGAGAGCATCTAGAGACTAAACCACGCCCAAGGTTTAGCAAAGCAGATAATAAATATCAAACCACACCGCAAATTATTTCTTTGATGCTGAAAATCAGGACGAAGTCCATGGAACCGTCATCACATACTGATGAACCCTGTCCATCCCGGCAACATCTCTCTGATGCATCGATCCATCGTCTTTCTTGAAGCCCTGATACGTGTATCCCTGAAAGCTAGGCTCGGGAACGACATAGATGAGCCTGTACTGCTTGGGACGCACCAGCTTGAGCTTGTCATGCAACGCATCCAACCCCTGAACAAGCTCGTGGATCTGGGACCAATAGACCGGATGCGTGGCTGACGTTGTAACCTGGAGAATTATGTCCGGAGTGACCAGCGAATCGAAAGATTTCTGGTTTGACGCATAAGGCTCCACGAAGCAACTGTCAGGTAAGCCTGCAAGGCCCCGTGATTCCTCCGTCCCCGCACGATAAGCGTCCACAGGACTCACGTCCTTGGCGTATACGTTGAAACCAGACCCCACGCAGCGCTTCTTTACGAACACTTTCCACTCGCGCAGCCGCTTCACTGACGTTGGCCTCAGAACGAAGCGTTCAACGCCGTCGTCTTCCTCTTCCAAGGACCGAAGATCAAACTGGGAACCTCCACTAGCAAGTACCTTGTGGACGTGCTTCTCGTACATTTTGCCCGCCAAGGTGTTTGTAACCGGATATCCTCGGCATAAGTCGAAAAAGTCACGGAAAGCCTGAAACCCCTGCTCCTCAAACCTTTCAAAAGCAAGCTTCTGAATGCAGTCCGAGCCAAACACCAAGTGAGCGTGCAGCACCCGGTAACACGCAGGTGTGTTCGAGTCGAACCTGTCAGTAAGACGGTAGTGGAGCAGAATATCAGAAACAGTGGGGTCCTTGTCCCGAGTGAGTGTGCAGTGGAGCACTTTTCTC